GTCTTACACACAACTGTCTGTTCTCATAATTGTCTTACACACAATGAGGGTGAGGGGTGTGGGGTGTGGGTGTGGGTGGGTGCGGGGTGTGGGTGTGTGGATGAGGGCGTGGGTGTCGGTGTGGGTGTCTCTGCTCTTGTGATTGACATCCACACCGACACTCACACCCACACCCACACCCACACCCAGCCACCCACACCCACACCCACACCCACACCCTCCATATATACGAATACAAGACAACACAAACTAAGATTCGACAATCGAATCGTTTTCAAAGATCAGTTTTATACTGACCAACTTGCCTGTTTTTCAGTAGATAGGAAAGGATGCACAGGTCAACTCCTTTTATCTGTATTTGGTTGAAGAGCTTCTTTTCTTAAATAAAGTCTTCAATCATTCAGACCATACTGATAGAATTGAGATTCTTTAAAAATTATCTTTCGTGAGCTTCTCCCAATGATCTAATACTTTCTTTCATAAAAAAGTCTTCAACTAAATACGGATATAGAGAATTAACATATGCATCGTGCCCTACCTACTGTAAAGTAAACAAGTTGCTCTGCAGATAGTGCTTTTTGGAAACGATTCGATTTCCACAATGTACTTTGGCTTTTCTTTGATTCGTGAATATAGATTCAGCTTTTTTTTAAATAGTTTTAGAGAACTGTATTTGAATTTGAAGTTTGTATGAAAATTTTTGGAAGTAAAAAGTCACTTTTTACTATTATTAAACCAGTCTACCTTCTATTCCAATTATCATGTTAAATTTGCATTGCGATATACTATAGAGAATAAATATATTAATGGCAAATAGTGCGTGCCAAAATAAATATATTAATGGCAAATAGTGCGTGCCAAAATAAATATATCAATAGCGAATAGTGCTTGCCAAAAGAAGCTTTTTTATATGTCGATACACTTGGAATTAAATCATACAAAAAATTATGTTCATTACAGCTTATGTGTTTTATTTCATGATTCTAGTGCTCTTTCAATTACATTATCTGTCATCGTAAATAGTATCATTTATTCCTTTATTTTCCATTTATTTTTTAAAAATAAAGTATTCCTTTATTTATTTAACTTTATTTTTTAAAAATAAATGATCATTTATCTTTATTTTTTAAGAGTAAAGGATTCATATATCTTTATCCTTTATTATAAAGGAAAGTAAAGATAAAGGGTCACCCCTAATTTAGATCTTTTGTAATTATAAATAGATATTTAGTTACATTGTAATGTCAAGAGGTCACTTTTTTTTTGCGCTCCGTACTATTTTCACACTTATGCGTCCAACAGTCTTAGAATGTTGACTCTCTGTTAATGAAGGTTCCGACAAGATCTGTCAATAATCGATCAATAAGACATTGAAGAGATGATTAGAATATTATTTGATATTTTATGTTTGATACAAAAACTATAATTGACTATAATGCAAAAGATAAGATTAAAAGTTTTTGAAAGAGAATTATATTCGATGTCATGGTAACCGATGGTAATTTTCCGGCCAGATATTGAATTATTACGTAATTATGAACATCTGTTTCTTCAAATATTTCTAAAGATAAAAACGTCGATAACAGCAGTATTTTAACATGAGCTTGAAAATAATCCATAATTATCACGCTTATAGTACGTTTTCATTTTGTTTCTTTTATCTAAAATAAATAAGCCGTCTAACGACGTGAGTTCTCCTTCTTTTTCTTGCTGCTCACATGATAGTTGATCCTTGAAAGAACTATTATTAGTAGTGAAGATTATTACTATTAAAATGTTGTCACGAGTTGATGAAGCATTGCATTTCTGTGCACCTATAATTTTATTCAAAAAAAATTTATTATTTTTTTATACAGAAAATTTCTTTTTATAAAAGGAGACACCTCTATGTATTGTTTATTATTTATCAGTCGTATAATCGAATAGTAACTAGGGGTGTCAGTTTCGAATTCCTAGGAACCCAAGCGAGTTCCCGAGTTCCTGGGAATCCTGGAATGCGTACTGATTTTGTGCGAAAAGGCCTTGAAAGGCTGTGTGAATATTCTATTGTGTTCAGAAATACATAAAAATGGATTGTGAAGTCGGTTCCCGGCTCTCGGGAACGGAGCCGTAGGGAACGAGGAACCCTGACACCTCTAATAATAACACCTAAGATTTTCTACATACAATTTTAGTAATTACTGGAAATTTCAAATGACAACAATTGCAACAACATCATCATGGGAAAATCTGATTGAGAAGCGCATCAACGATGTTAACTTTAAATCACGTACTTGTAAAATCTACAATCGTCAAGCTGGAGAGTCTGACCAACATTCGGATAAATTATGTCCTTGTGATCGTTTAGTTCGTCGTCATAGTTTCAAGGAGAAAAGTGTACAAGAAATAGAAAAGCTGATAAATCCTGACTGGCAGCCTCCCGATGAATATGATATTTCAGCTCATTCTGCTAAAGTTCCTGTTACTGTATTTGGAAGACTAAAATCTAATGGTTGCAAATTTCTTCGAATAGATACTCGAACAAAAGAAGAAGTCATCTACGAATTACTTGTTGATGATTGTGGAGGAAAAAAATTCAAGCCATCTCTAATTTTAAGTATTTATGGTGGTGCAAAATACTTTACAATGACAGAAAAACTTGAGATAGAAATTATACGAGGCATAAGTGATGCGACTACTTCAGCCAGTAATCAATATAATTGATCGATGCTTTACATTGACGAATGTTTTTAGATGCTTGGGTTTTGACTGCTGGTATCAATAATGGTGTATCGAAATCAGTTGGTGAAGCGATTTCGCATTACGGTTTATTCGGAGACTATCCGAAAAAAGTGACATGTATTGGATTAACTATGTGGGGTACGATGAATGAAAGCACACGCTTTGAACTTAAGTACTCAACTAAGGTAAGTAGATTAAAAAGTTTCTTAAAGACTAAATAATTACATGATGCAATCTTGTACGATAGGACTATCAAAGGGACTTACTTTATCGACAGATTCCTGATCATCTTGAAGAAGATAAAGAAACAATTGAAAAGAATCACACACATTGTATTCTATTTGATAGTGGACAATTGAATGAATATCTTGATGATTCACATCGTCACAAATTAGTCACTCACGCCTGCACACAAGATCATACATGTGAGTACTATTCTATATTGTTCATTTAAGGATGATGATTTGTAATTGAAAATATTTCCAGGTCATGCTGTAACACTCATTATTGAAGGAGGTGTAAATACTCTCGAGGTTATTACAAATGATATTGATGCACAAAGACCAATTGTACTCATTCAAGTTTGTATTTTACATTTTTTGTTACAACTATTTTATTGAGATATTAGGGTAGTGGACGTTTAGCTGACATGCTTGCTAAACTGATTGAACAGACTTCTAACTTTGAGCAAAATCAACTAAGGTTAAATAAGATAATGTATTGTTATTGTTTTTATTGGGGATGCTTGTTATTAAAGGGATTCAAACGACAAAATTAACCAAGCTATAAACCAATTTTTTTCTAATCTCAACGATTCAGATATATCTGAAATAAGGCGGAAGATTCAATATATCTTAGCTACAGATCATCGTCATCTATTGAATGTCTTCTCATTGGATCGTGATAATACTGTAGCGGAAACAATTTTCAAGGCCATTTATAATGGTATTTATTCAAAAATAGAGATATACATAACAAATTCTAATTCATTTACTTTTATTTGAAAGTGAAAATGAAAAAGAACAATACGGAGAATAGTAGCAATCCAGAACAACGTCGAAGGGATGAAGATATATTAGTAGATTTAGCCATTGAATGGAACTATCTTGATGGTGTTTTACCTATTTTACAATCACGAAAGTATTTACAAATGAAGAAGAAACAAGAATTAATTACGGTAAAATTATAATTATCAAACACATTTTATTTCATATCCTCTTTTTTATAGAATGATATCACATGTGAAAAAGAACTATTTAAAAAATGTTTGGAAAAGAATCGTCCAGCATTTATTCAATATTTCCTGATGTCTGGATTCGATCCACTTACTTTAATAAATAACAACGGTATATCTTCTTATCAAACAATCATTTTAGATTTCTATAAATATAGTCATTATCATATGACTAAAGTATGTTTATTGATCATTCTTTCATACTGATAAAACTGCTTTTTCTTAATAAAGCGCCATGCAGACCGCGTAGAAACATTATTTGGCGAACCATCTAAAATAACATTGGAAAAACTTGATGAGAAATTAAATAAATTTGTAGGTGCATTTATTAAACCGATTTATTCAGCGGCAAATCATGATTGTATAAGACGTATTAAAATTGATATGAAACTTCACCTATGTGCTTACTGTGGATCTGAAAAACACGATTTCGAACAACCAGATGACCAGATCAAATCAGTCGACAACCATAATAATCAGGTCGAGAATAATGTATCAAACTATACTAAAGATGAATTTTTACGTGATCTTTTCTTGTGGTCTATTTTCATGGATATGCCTGAAATGGCGAAAATATTTCTTGTTCATCTACCATCACGTATTTGTGCTGCTTTGATAGCTTCAGCTATATTTAAACGATATTCTAAAGCATCAACAACTATTCATATGGAAGAAAAATTCCAAAATCAATCACTTGAATTTGAAGAAATTGCAGTAAGATTTATTGATAAATGTTATGAATATAATGAAAGATTAGCTTGTGAATTACTTTTGAGAGAAGTACCGCTTTTTGGAAATGTTACATGCATGCAAGTTAGTCATCTTGAACACCTTCTTGTGTATTAGATATTACTCTATTGAATGATAAATTTAGGTTGCTATTTCAAGTGAATGTGGAAAATTAGTTGGAACACATTGTTTTGATCAAACAGTGAATCAAGTATGGTGCAACAAATTATCTATTACAAACCAACAGACATCTGCAAAACCGTCACTACTATTTTCAATATTATCCTTTGGTTTATTAGCACCGATGTTTGTTAATTATCGAAAGGATAAAACTGTATGTAAATGAGTATTTTTCGAAGTAAAGATTTTTATTTAATTTAAATTTTAGAGAACAGAGGATGAATTGTGAGCAGATACCCCTTCTGTGATAAAACTGTTTTTTTTTCATAAATCATCTTTTTCATAGATTATCGTCAGAAGGAATCAATTATTATACAGATGAAAAATTAATCAAAAACAAATCATTCACCACATATTGTTCAAAATTTAAATATTTTCATCAAAGTCCTATGATAAAACTGTGTTATCATTTTGTAAGAAAATCTTGTGTCTGATGAATTAAGATTACTATTGTGTATTATTTAGATTAGTTACATTTGGTTTTTACTTGTCTTTAGTTATATGATGCTTTATCATCTTGATAGTCCATCTACATTTACAATTCCTCATTGGACTGAAATATATGTCATTGTAACAATATTAACAATGTCTTGTGAAGAAGTTCGAAAAGTAAAATTCATTTTTCTTGTTTTATGCCGAAAAAGAAAAAATCTTTCTCTTCTTTAATAAAGTTATATCATGAATATAAAAAACGAATGATTGAACGATGGGGTTCTATAGGATCCAGTATTGTCATTGATTTAACAAGTATATTCTATTTTACACCATATGTTCTGTTTTATATTGGCCTTGGGTTTCGATACGTTCATAATGACAATATTCTTACTACTACAAGGTTTTTTTCAATAGTTTGTATAGTAGTTTATCATTCATGTTATTATAGAATCATTTGGGCATTTGACCTTGAACTATGGTACCTTCAGTCACTTAAGTTGGTCATTGCTCTCAAATCTATTGGTCCAAAATTGGTTATGCTTAAAAATATGGTTTGTTTAGTTTTTGTATTTACAATACAAAAATAAATTTGATGAAAATATAGTTTCGAGATCTGGTTGGATTTGTCTATATGATTTTCATAGCCATAGCTGCATATGGTGTTGTATCAAGAGCATTAATCTGTTATAAACAAGTTCCATTTACTTTTAATAAAATATTGAGAGAAATGTTTTATGAACCATATTGGTTTATCTATGGAGAATTTTCTGATAAAGAGTTACTTGATGGTAAACATATTTGTTTAAAGCTATTTTAGTTTATTTGATTGAATAATATAGATAAAATTAATAATGATACATCATCAGTTGTAACAGAAGCAACAGCTACACAGTTTTTATTAGCATTTCATATGTTATTTATTAATATTCTCATACTCAATTTATTAATTGCTGTTTTTACGTAAGTATCAAGTATTTATCATTATAATGAATTCATTATTGAATATAGTTATACGATTGATAAAGTTCAAGAAAATACCGAATTTCATTGGCGTTATCAACGTTATGCATTTGTTCGAGAATATTTCGAACGTCCTCTACTTGCTTATCCACCATTAATTATTATTCCACATATTATAATAGTTTGTCGTGCCCTGCTGCGTAGATGTTGTCCGAAATTATGTCAAAACCGAGTTTTTGGGAAAAATCATCAATCAAAATCAAGACACATGACACTTGTTTTCAGTAAGATTGTCAATAAGTGTCACATTTGTATTGATCAATATATAAAAATAATATAGAAATGATACCGACGAATACAATCCAGCAGAATGATCGATGGAATGCATTTGAAAGTGCTGCAACACGTAATGAGACTCGGTCAATAATAGCACAGAATAAAACAAAAAATGTTTTAACAACTGATGATATGTATTCAAAGAGCACAATGGATACTACTGAGTATGGCTACTACTTTTTTTTTTATTTTAATAATAATTTTTCATAGATCTGATGTGATGAAACCCAGTTCTGATCAACAACAAATGATACAAAATTTGAATATAGAACTATCCACAATGAAATCAGTGCTTAATAATAATCAAAGAAATATTAAACAGGTATATATTATTTTAAATATATTTTCATATATATATTTTGAATAAATATTGTCAAAATTCCAATGGAAATTGGACAATAAAATGCCCAGTAAAAAAAATTACGTAAGAATTTTGACAATGTTGTTGAAATTATAGTAGAACTTCAATATGTTTCGAAATTCTACTACAATTTGGACATTGTTAAAATTCCATAGAATCTCTAAAGTAGGAAATCATTTCTGAGGGAACCCCTGAATACACAAATGAAAAGTTATATACAAGAGGTAAAAGTAAAAACTATTTTTTGTTTTACTCATCAAAGCACTGTTATCTATTAAGGTAAATAAATCACTGAAACGAACCACGAATTCAATGGCACGAGTAAGAACGACCACCAACTTTGACAACACTACTATTTGATGTTGATGCACGAACATCAGCACAACCAACGACGAGTTCTAATGAATAATCATATTTAACTGTCATATCTATTTTATTCAAAATTAATTGGTAGTTTAATTTTTATTTATTTTATTATTTAAACTATACACGCATTATATCAAGAGTAATGATGAAAATAATTGCCTAGTTAACTACGTAGTAAATAATGAGGATTGAATCGAATATTAGTTATTTCAGATTTGATTGTAATGTGTTCGATATCATTAAACGATTTATTACAAAAAAAGTATGTCTCCATAACTTCATAATTCCTGTCGATAAGATTGAAGTACATTCAATTGAACTTAGCTATTAGATTCAGTTCAGATGACTAATCTGTTAGTTGAATCTTTTACAATTTTTCGGAATATGCTCATAGATCATCAATTCTAATTGGATAGCTTTTGTTTGATTTCAATGTATGTTACAATTAGGTTGGGATTAGGAGGAGTGTTTGGATATATCGAGTTTACATTCGAATGGTAAGTTTTGATAATCATAATATTTGTAGAGGGTATGGGTGTGGGTGGGTGTGGGTATTACTCTTTTTAAGCTACACCCACACCTACACCTTCAAGATGCATATCGGTCGAAAAGAAACAGTTCATTTGAAAAAATAAACCTGATATTCGAATCCAAAGCCTAAATTTCGTTCTTAAGTCTTTTTTACAAGTTTTTCAGCTAAAACTAGACTAAACCTTAAATGAGTAACAGAGTAGTAACTTATTAACTTTCTCGACTCTTGAAAACAATTGAACTATTCCTAATATTTAATCTAAAGTTAATAACACGAATAGTTCACTCTAGGTTTAATGACAATACACGAGGATATATATTTGAATGACAACATATCATATTCGAGAAATGAATAAGAACTCTTTAAAATCAGGAAAAGAATTTTTCAAGATTATATTGAAGAATCACGGAAAACTTTTACTAGATTCATGATATGTAAAATTAATACTCACACACCTAATTTTACAGATATTGTTGTTTTTAAAGTTCTTCAATGGCATATCTTTGATTCTATATCGAAAATGTTGATTTTGATTAAAGAAGAGTTTTTTTGGTGCTCGACTTTTTTTTAAAAATAAGTGTCTCGTTCATCTTGAATTCACATTAAAGTAGAAATTCTTTAAGATATGATGAAACAACAAGTTTATCATGAGAATTTTCTGATACAATGTTGTTTTTTAACCAATAATGAAAGTATGTCAAGTATTTATCAATAGAATTGCTGAAAACAAGTAATGAACTTGAGGGTGTGGGTGTGGGTGTGGGTGTGGGTGGGTGTGTGGGTGTGGGTGTGTGGGTGTGGGTGTGTGGGTGTGGGTGTGAGAGTGGGTGTGGGTCTTGCTCTTCTATCCGTCCACACCCACACCCTTTATTTGAACAAGAACGTATCGGAGAAACTATCAGTTCAAAGTGTCATGGGACACGTTTGATCGACAAAAGCCAAGATGGCATGCTCTTATTTGATGAAATTTTTACTCATGATAATACGGAGCTTGTAGCAACATACCAGGTTTTCCTTTTGCACTTATATAATAGAATGAGCAATGATACACTGAATAGATAACTCATAACTAACTCATCGGTCCTACTAGATAATCTAAAGAATAAATATGTAAAGTTCACAGCAATTTTCTTGAAGATGACTTTCTCTTGCAATTCAATCTTCTCGTTAAGTTTGTTCTCGTGTGCAATTATTTGTAGTCATAGAGGCTAGCCATTTTCCTCGTTACATACAGTGTGGTCCAGAAGTAACCTATCATAGAAGGTATCCTATAATAATTGATGATAAATTGTTAATGATACTTTTCATACATTTTATTGATGTTGGGAGTTGAAATTTTTATCACATATATATACAATCAAGATCTTCGTTCACCGAAAGTTTCATCTCTCTACATCAATAAAATGTATGAAATGTTTCATTAGCAATTTATCATCAGTTATTATAAAATATCTTGTATGGTAGGTTACTTCTGGACCATCCTGTATAACAAATCCAGTCGATTATTTTCAATTATTTTGACTTGATTGCAATCGTGCACAATCACATAGACTTTCAAGCCTTTTCTATTCCTTATGATCAAGAGATAATTTTGTCCTTCACATCAGAGAGCGTCATAAACGAGTTGATTTAACTTTTCTTCATCATTCATGAGCATTCTTTCCTTGGTGATTGATCATCATTGTAGTCTTTTCATCGGAGAATGATAGTTATAATTTTAGGATGAGAAAAATCTGAAGAGGTAAGCCGAGATACATCTCGTGTGACATAAATCTAATGTAAATATGCTTCACAAAGCTAATCTGCTGAGATTAGATAGTTTCAGCGCAATAAGTATCTTGACTGACGACAGTCAAAACGATACTGTTTTAGAATATTTTAGCTGTAATTCAGCTCGCTCAATAAATTCAGATATAAGATGCCTAACGAATTAAAATGCTATTACTCTTTTAACTCTCACGACATCTTTCCAAAATCGACCATTCATCAATATAGATAAAAGTTTATCAACTCAGTTCTAATGGGCATTGTACAGTCGTCTACAATGTCATTTGATCGAGCCATTTCGTTTGACAAAGTCAATCTTGCTATTATTAAACAAGAACAGTGAGCAACGATAGAAAGTGTTACCATCCCGTAAAATCAATACTAATTATACAGAACCTATCTCACGGACACACATAGGCTCTCTGCTTGTCAGATCCAGATGAGATTAATCTGATTTCGATAAGACATGACGAGTTCTACTTAGGTAATAAGTAAAACATTTAAACATTGATGTGAAGCGAATCATGACTCTTGTCTGAAATAGTTCTGGATTTTTTTCACAATCTCCAGTAGTATTTTACTATTTTCTTGGGCTTGTCGTGACATATTCGAGAAATGGTGGCATTTGTTAATCAAGTTTTTCATAGCCTGTCTAGAGACAACGAAAGTGGAACTGAATCCGGCTTTCGAACAAATCCATCTGGAACAATTATATTGAAATCCTGAAGTAAGGCGTGCTATGTATTTTTTGATAACTCATTCGATTGTTAATCTGATTGAATCGACCTATAGACTGACCTTGGACGACAGTGTTCTGTCTTGAATGTCTCTCAGTATCACCTTGTTTACGCTGAAGTGGGTTTTTTTCTTTGCTTATGAGACGGGCAATATTATCTTCTGCTAGGAAAGCTTTGATCAATGAATTCTTGATTCAGCTTTCATAGTTATCGAGGTCAACTTTTTTTTTTGCAAGCGCAACTTTTTCACCGTCTTCAAGTCGTTGAATGATTTATAGGATATACAGCACTGTTGTCGAATGTTCATGAACGGTCTAAATTTGATCGAAATCTATCAGAAGCCGATTGAAGGAGCTGATCTAGGAAGAATAGATCCTGAAGATCTCAGATTGGTCAAGCTGAATGTCTGACATGTTTGCCTTATATAGATGTTCTTTCAAAGAGTTGTTTTGCTGAAGTATGATCGTTATTACACTTTCTTGAATATGTGATATTATAGAGAATGCTGACTTCGGCGAAGTCAGTAGTTTTTAATTATGTTCAAGTGTCAGTCTTGGTGTGCTTATTGCCAAAGTCGCTTGTAGAGACAAATGTTTTTCTAAATCGATCGCAATGATACCTTACTACCTCACCATAGCCCTATTTTTACAATTATTTCATCAGTGCATCAAAAAAAGTCATCAAAATGCATTGATATCAAATGGTTATCAGTGCATTCTCGAATGAAGCACACTCCGTGGTGTAGATAAGGACAAGGAATATATGTGAGAGGAGTAGAGTAAATAGTGTTTTATTTTTATCGTGTTTTGAAGAGCTGTGTTACAACACTTTCGAAAACATCAAGTAACCTTCGAGCGCAAACACAATTCTAGAGATACACAGTTCTAAATGAGTGTAACTGAAGACATTGAAGTGAGCACCGTGGGTGCTGTTGAACCAAAGATCATCGAACAACCAGATGATTTCAATGAACCTGAACCGACAGCCGAAGAATTGTCAACATTGGAACATATTTCTGATCACATACCGTTAGCGGCCTGGCTGATTGTCGTTTGCGAATTTTGCGAACGTTTTGCCTTTTATGGACTATCTGGTCTCTGGCAAAATTACATTCAATTTCCGTTACCCACTAAAAATGAAACACAACCAGGTGCTCTCGATCGTGGACAGCAGACTGCCACTGCATTGACAATGTTTTTTCGGTTCTTTGCTTATATCACGCCGATCGCTGGTGCCATTCTAGCTGATCAATTATGGGGCAAATACAAGACTATTATGATTTCATGTGCAATCTATATGATTGGTCTTGTCGTACTGCTTCTGACTAGTATACCGCCAGCTATTGATAAAGGCATCGCATTTCCTGGTTTAATCGTAGCGATGATCATTATAGGTACTGGTACCGGTGGTGTAAAAAGTAATGTGAGTCCATTGATGGCTGAGCAATATTCTAGAACGAAACCAATTATCACAGGTAATTGAAAAGTCTTTTGAAGTGAAAGATTTCTTTTCTTGTCTCTTTATAGTAATCAAAGGCAAAAGAAAAATTATCGATCCAAGCGTGTGAGTCGATTGAGTATTTATCTACTTATTCCATAGACTAATATTGTCCATATTTTAGAACGATGCAATCGATGTTCAATTGGTTCTATTGGGCCATTAACATAGGTGCCCTATCATTGATCGCTACTACTAATATCGAAAAGTATCATTCATTCTGGCTTGCCTATCTTCTACCCACGGTCGTATTCATTGGGTCCATCATCGTCTTGGCCATCGGTCGCGGTCGATACGTTCAAAAATCTCCGTCTGGTTCACTACTTGTTCGCGCTGCTCGCGTGACAATGACCGCCATCCAAAGGCGATGGAAATTTGGCAAGCAACCCGATCGCCGAGATCTTTTAGATTATGCCAAAGACATGTCATCCCCAACCGATCAGGATGGTGAACAGACGACGACAGAATCAAGCAACAACCAGTTTATTGATGATCTCAAAAAAGCAATTAAAGCTTGTCGCGTTTTTGCTTTCTATCCATTCTATTGGATCTGCTACAATCAGTTTGGAGCCAACTTAGTATCGCAAGCTGCGCAAATGAATGTCGGTGAGTTTATGACTTCTCTTAAAATGATCAAGAAAACAGAACGCTGTTCAATCTTCGATTCCTTCTTTCTACTTTAGGTCCCCTACCTAACGATATTTTACAAAATATCGATCCGCTCGTTTTGGTTATTTTCATTCCAATCTTCGACAAATTGATCTATCCTGGCTTGCGACGATTTAAAATCAATTTTCCGGCTATCCGCCGTATTAGTTGTGGTTTCTTCTGTGTTTCTCTCGGCATGGCATGGTCAGCATTTGTTCAACATCAAATCTATTCTACTCCTCCAAATTACAACTATGTGCCCAAGCCTTGTGAGAAGTGTCAACAATACAACAATATTACTGTAGCTTGGCAAATTCCAGCATATTTTTTCATTGCCATCTCCGAAGTCTTTGCTTCCATTACTGGTCTCGAGTATGCATTTACTCAGGCACCACCTTCGATGAAATCCATCGTCATGTCACTTTTTCTATTCACATCGTCTATCGGCAGTATCCTGAATATGGCACTTGTACCGGTATCAGTCAATCCGAAAATACTGTGGATGTATGTATCACTGGCAATTGAGTCATCCGTCTTCGGTATTCTGTTTTTCTTTGTCTTTCGAAACGATTAAAAGATACACATGGAAGAACTATAAACGAAATGATTTATGCCAATCTTTTTCCTATTATCTAGTTTTATCATTTTAATAATCATTAATAAATATCCATTCTAGCAGCGCACACTACTACATTCATCTTCTATTTATGTTCTGCGATGTCATTGATGACGGGTGTGGGTGTGAGTGTGAGTGTGGCACAGTGGGCAACTTTCATGAAGCAGGCGGACGTGGAACTTTTGTGTTCTGAAACGGGTTGCCTTTACTCAGAAGTGTTTGTATATTACTCAGAAAATCGAATTTAGGAAAATAAAGCATTTTTTGAAAAAAAAAATTTCGGCATGAAACATCTGAGGGGAGCCTTGCCGAGATTTTCGAAAAAGTTTTTTTGGTAGGGAATGTCTTGTGTCATACATCGTCCGATGCAGTTTTGCTTGCTGATTCTGAAAATCACATTCGTTTTGCGCCACGATGCTATTGGAATCGAGAAAATAGGGATTCAGGGGCAGAAGCCTGGATTTCTGGAAAACTTCTGGCATAGCCTGGATTCCTCAGTGCGAGGTGATGCTAAGCCCGATGATATATCACATAGATCAAACTCTGCTCTACAAAATACATTGCTTTTTGAAGGTTTTGAAACTTGCTCTGAAAGTTCAATTTTTTCAATTACACAATTTTGTTTTAAATGTTCTTTCTCATAGTGTACTTCATTACTGAGAGTTATGACAAAATCCTGCATCCCATAGTATATTTTTTTATAACGACAAAATCGATAAAATTCCGCTGGAAAAAAAACGATTTCTATCATAAAAATTGAATTAATTCACTATTAATGTTTTCGATTTGAGTGCCCATTATAAGCAATCTTTGATGGAAAAACAATAAAAACTAGCTTAAACTCTTCTGTCCCGGATTTATGTTATTTAGGTATTCTTTGATCTTGGTTTTTATGGTCGAACAGGTCCATATATAAATGTAAGTTTTGATAATACTGGTTATAATTCAGTTGGAATACCATGGTTACCATGAACACTAAATACAACAAAAATATTTGATAATATTGCTGCACTTAATCCATATCTTGGTATTAATAAATTCAAATTTGAATTTAGAAAAAAAAAGAATCGTTTGTTTTTTTTTTGTTAAGTGAATATGAATAATTATAATTCGAATCGACCTATACACAACCTTATGTTGTTGCACAAGGTTAAATAGAAATCTTTATTTCTTTCGTATTTGTTTCTTATTTTTTTTTGGTTTTTTTAGGTAGTGCATCATCGAATAATCCAAATTTATTTCCACAAAATCTAACAAATTATTATACAAATGTATTTAATCCAAATGTGAATGCATAATTTCTTCAAAATATTAATCCATCAGTAACACATTTTTATGCTAATATACCATTACAACCAGGACATGGCCCCATAGGTTTTGCTGGTATTGGTATACCAGTAAGTATTTTTGGATAACAAAAAAAAACAAAAAAAATAATAAAAGTTATGCTTTTTTAACATGAGATTTATTTGATCGATCGAACTTATTTTTGTATATACAAGTAGTCTAGATTTCCATATGGAAAAATGCTGAAGAGAAATTTTAATTACACAAAAAAGAAAAAATACAAATAAAGAACTAATAAGTGTTCGGACACCTTCTGAACTCTTTGTATATACAACGGATGATCGGCAAATTTTTAGACAAGATATTTTGACCAGTTAGAAAAGTATTTCCGACTAGTCTAAAGATATGAGTCATCATGCTCTTTTCGAATATCTTAGTTTTGCGAAACACGATTTGAACACCAGAGATCAAAATCGAACCACTTCTTAAAAACAACGTTAAACTGAACCGAACCTAATTAATTTTTGAAAAAGAATGAATAAATATGGACAAGTACACAAGAAAAATGATTAGTTGAGCTATAATCCTTTTTTTGTTTTAATTGTGATGCTGTATGGAATTATCAAAGGATCTTTAATCGAATATTTTACATCAGGAATTGTGAACAATTAATTTACATTGACACAAATTTATCAAGTCAAGAAATAAATTATAAAAGATTTTATTTTATTTTAAATTTAAATCGAATTTATATAAAATTTTTTAAGAAATTCAATAAACTCAAAATAATTTAAATTCCATCTTAATATATTTTAAATATTTTAAACTTCATTTTAGTTAACTTAAGTTTCACTTTGTATAGTTATCTATAGAAATCAAAAGTAAACTTTTATTTCTCAAGGGTGTGAGTGTAGGTGTGGTTGCGGAGAATATTCACACCCACACCCAAAAAAATGGTCGTTTGTGCCATGTTACCGACAAAAACGATACGTGCAGTGAGATGAATTTCCGTTTCTAGACCCTGGCCTTGCAGTTTAGGGAATAAAAAAAAACAAGTTTGAGATTATAGATGACGATACCTATAACCGATACATCCTTGCAGATTTGACAATTCCATTATTCATAGAGGCTGAAAAGACTTTATTCAATGGTTTTTTTTTCTTTGTTTTTGTGATAAGGTAAGTGTGGGTGTGGGTGTGGATCATATCTTCATCTACACCCACACCCAATTGTGATCGAAAATTTTATTTTAGGTTTAGTTGGTCTTTTTCTTTATATTACTTATTCTTCATCATTTTTTTGTCTATTATTTTATCTCACCAACATATCTCAAAGATGAAGAAGACTCATTCAAGCTGTGCATGCGCCTATGACAACATTTGCTCAAAGAAATACATAAACTGTCATAAATAATCATCATCACAAGAATGACACGATTTAAAAACACTTTTACTGATCGAGATACTTGTCGATTATTTAGAAAAATTATGTAAACATTTTAATATCATTTTCTATTTTGTCTTAAAAGAAGTTTTGAAATATAAATGAAAAAGATCCGTGTCTAAGATATTTTGTAAGAAACAAAAAAAAAGAAAAAGAAACACTACAACAATGAGCACTTCAAATAAATACTGACAGAGACGTTAATGAGCTATTTGAACTTGTGTTTACTACGATATATATTTTTCAAAATAAATAATGAATCATAAGCACATTTTTGTTCTGAAACTGATTCATATTTACGACCATAAATTACAATGATTCATCTATTTTGACTAATGATCTTTAAGAAAAATGACTTCACCTATCATCAACATTGTAAACTTGCCTAGGAAATAAATCCTCGATGAATCATATCATTCATATCATAGATAATTTAAATGTAAGCATAACCAAGCATAAAATATTGCTTTTTCTATGCAAACGTCTGGATGAATGTGAACTGAAAAGGAAAGAAAACCGAACAGCAAAAAAAATGACTCATTCGAGACTAGGGGTGGGGTGTGGGTGTGGATGTGTGGGTGGGTGTGGGTATAATGTTCTTCATTCAGTCCACACCCACACCCACACCCACACCCACATCCACACCCACACCCACATCCACACCCACACCCACATCCACACCCACACACCCACACCCACACACCCACACCCACACCCACATCCACACCCACACACCCACACCCACACCCACACCCACACCCTGCAAATGCATAGTAGTATGTCGCCATACCACTGATGATTGTAATGAAATTCAAAAAGAAATAGTGTATGAATCGATACCATCCAAAGTCTCCGCATCGTTTGAGTACGTTTTCGAGCGAAATCTTGTGCACCATAACAGTTTTGTTTTTCATTTCTGATATAATATTCTTTCAGGGCCACAATGATAGTGTGATTGTTATCAGTCCACTACAGCAAACACAGTTAATATGGTCAGGTAAGTCATATTTTTATCATAGTTTCATAAAGCTTCTCTCGTGTCGTGCTTGACAAAAATGACACAGTATTTACCAGAGTACAGATGAAAACGAGCGGCCATCCATTGCTCAACCTGTGGTTCTCTTTGTTTGGTATGATGTCTTCTAAAGAGTGGATATGGGTGTGCGCCGAGTGTAGTTACGAGTTCAGATGGGGATGTAGGATGTGGGTGTAGGTGTGCATGGAAATAATACTGATACCCATTTACTCACACACACCTACACCGTTTAGCGCAAAAATATCATCAAAACTCACTATATTTGTGAGTCGCATTTCTTGGATATTAGAATACAATGAACGCCAAGCACTATATTTCGTGCCAAAGATATCCATCATCGTAGCGCAATAGTGGTGACAGCGCTACTATGAAGATCTAGAGTTATTACAATATGTATGATGAAAAAATAGGTTTTTGTATTATATAGTTTTGATCTTTTTCTTGTTGGACCGACACTATTGCTGTAAGAATGTTTTCATCAATTAGTACTTCGGAAAATCTCTTTCTAGTTTGAATAAGCTTGCAAAGTCTAGATGAGTTCTAAATTATTTTCTTTTGTGTTCATAGCAAAGACTAAATTATAAAAGAAAATCGTTATTTGGATTCTTAAACTTAAGACAAACAAGTTTGAGAATATTAGAATAGATTCCATATCACAAACTATATCTATGGTCGTAGCAAGATCAGATTTCAAAAAATCACGTCCTCAAAACCAGTTTTCCATAGATGTGCTCATGTTTCAGCGCGAGACGTCTTATTTTACTATCATTTGCAGATCTCCTATAAAGATACATATCATATAGAATTGAGTTCTGAACTTCTCATTCAGTTTCAATGAGATTTTATATTTCTATATTCGTACTTATTCTTATCGAAAACAAGAAATAAACTCTATGTTTTGAAAAACTTTTAAGTGGTTATTTTTATCTGAAATTTCTAACGAATAAAATCATTTATAGAAATTTTAATTTGTATGTTCGTGTTGTTATATTTGTTAATATTTATCTTTATACATTGTTCGTTCTTAAGCTGTTTCATCAAGTGATGACTGAATGTTATTTCTAGCTTGTTTTGTTTGATGTGATTTATTTGTTAAATTTTCATATTAAGTTTTAAATATATCAAAAGATTTAAAATGTTGGTCATTTTCTTTCGATACATTTCCTTTAAGTTTTTCAAACTGTTGTTTATCTTTATCACTTGTTTCTTGATAATTTTTCATAAGACCTTGAAATTCTTTATTTAACTTATCACATTGTTCTAAACGATCATGTTTAAATTGTCAAATATAAAGATGTGTTGATTCTGATTTTTCTTATAAATACTGTTTATCATGTAATAAAGCATTATAATTCGAATTAAAATGTTCTTTGACTTCAAGCGATAGTGTTGACACTTCTTCTGTATGATGATCCTATGATTAAAACAATTATGTATTTTCATATTTCTAATTAATCAAAAAAGGAAGAGAAAGCTCAAATTTCTATGGCTGGATTTTATGTATAAAAACATAACCTACGGCGCGCAAGTCTTGACACAAAACGTTCGCTCATTTTTCGGTCATTTAGACGTAACTAGTGAGAGCCGAAAGTAGTTAGTTAGAATCCGCATTTGTTGATCTTTCTGAATATATGTTCAGAACTTCCTCCTAATGTAAGGCTGGTCAATTATGACTACGTTTTTTGGAAGGGTTCAAAATGATGTCTGTACAAAGCAAAATAGGATTTTTACGCGATTCTTAGTTTGTGCAACTTATATTTCGAAACAGTCTTGAGTCGACATTATTTTAGAGCATTCAATTCTCTACAAGATGAAGTATTACAGTAAGCGAAACATCAAATCACTCACAAGTGACGCGTTTTCCCGAATGACTACTTTTGACGAAAAGTGATATTTGTCGAAAAATCAATTTTTCAAAAAGCTGCTTTTAAGGGTGTGGGTCTCAACATACTTCCTTCCGTCCACACCGGCAAGCCACACGTGTCCATCAGCAGTTATTTCATATTCTTCCCGATGTGATTGAAAAGCTCGGATGATTGTTGAGTATAAATCGAGTAATCTTGCTGAAAACTCAATGTTGTCAATTTTACTTGACCACGGCAGTTTATTAAGTAAGGTATGGAGTGTAGGTAAATCGCGAGCAACAATAAGCAAGCTATTTTAGAAACTAAATCTGCCAATCATGTTTATTTCTTTTATTATTTTTGTGTTTCCATCGCCTTATTAATTCTTCGATTAGTTTATTGTGCATTTTATTGTTCTTCTTTGTGACTTCAAGAACGATGGCGGGAAAGTCACTCCGAATCGATGACTCTATTTGTTGATATGATCGGTTGGTCGTTGTTTGATGTATTACTTCGATGAAAATTCGTTTGAAAGTCGATTTCCTTTCGCTCGTCACAATAATTTTTTAAGTTTTATGCTTCAGGTATTGGAAAACCTAGTTTTGAAGATGAATAAGATGATGATTCATCATTCATTTTCATGAAATAAGAAATTGTTTGCACGGCAATGTGTGTCATAAGAAAAAGA